CGTCATCAAAATCTTTGCTAATGTTTTCATTTTCATCGAATTTCTTATCTTCATCATCGATGATAAAATTCTCCCTCTCGTTAGAATATTCTTTCAGCCAATCATGAGATATCACAATGCCTTCATCCTTATACAGCTCTTGCTCGACCAAATATTTTACAGCACTATGCACAACTTTTGGTCGAATTGTTTCATACATAAAAGCATTTTTATTTTTCATTTGTCTCATGAGTTTCAATTGAATCGTGTGAGTATCACTAAAACTTCTGGGCAATACTGAAACATTTGTATCAACATTCATGGGAACATTTACAAGGTTACCCTTGAGACCGAATTGTTTACAAGAACCTAAACTTCGAATAACCATAAAAGGAATTCTTGGCGATATTAATCTTTCTTCTAATTCAGTCAAGATTTTCAAACAATCCGGTACTTCGCCGCTATGGCTGAATGGTTAAGATGTTCGACATATATCCACAAGATAGTGTGTTCGAACCTCGGCGCCATCAGACATAGAATAACCTTGGACAAGTTACTAACGGCTGTTTGTCTCGGACTACCCATCCGATAGCACGCTGACTACGTGTGACATACACAAGCCCTTGTGGCTAGTATGTGGTTAGTCAGTGTACATGGGGAGCTTAAGTAATTAAGCGAGAGGAACTCTGAGTCAGGCCAGCTTTCTGTCCAGAGCTGCAGCTAGTAATAGTTGTAGGAAAAACATCGGGCTTTTGAAACTGTCCTTTGACAGCACCCTATACTGAAAGGTAGCCGAAAGGCAAGGGTATTCTTCTTCTTCTTCAATCCGGTACTTCATAGAATGCTAAACCATTAGATAGACAGAGATTAGGTACTTTATTCAACATAATGTCCTTTCTGCATGTGACACATAATTTGATGATTGTATTTTTGAGATAACAAACTGTATCGATAAATTCTTTTTTTAATCCTTTATTTGTTAACATCTCAGCTGTAAATTCTCTGATTGAATACTCAAACCATAAACCATCACAACAGCTACAAATATGAGTAGGTCCTTCTTTTATTTTTAACGCATAATTTGATTTCATGACATCAAAGTTATTTTTGTATTTATCTCTATTATTTTGCATTCTCAATGCATTTCTTCTTCTTTCTTCCTCTTTGTATTCTTCCTCTTCACGTTTAATTTTAAGAGCTTCTGCTCTTTTTTTGTTTTCTTCTGTTTTAAATTCATCATTTTGTCGTTCAATTTTATGAGCTTCTGCTCTTCTTTTATTATCTTCTGTTTTAAATTCATCATTTTGTCGTGCAATTTTTTGAGATTTTGCTCGTCTTCTCTTGTCCATCAAACGAAATTCATCGTTAAGTCTTCTTTCTCTCATTATCTTTGCCATCTCGACATTTCTTTGAGATATAGATCTTCTTTTTAGCTTCGGCATTTTTTCGTAAAACAAACTTCTCACGTAGATTAGGGGTGTGTATATACCAAGTACAGCCTCTACTTAGTGAGACACGTGAATATCTCTAAACTTGGTGAGATAAACAATGCAAACGTTTCTTTCGAGTCAAATCTCCGTTAAAACTAGTGAAGATATACTCGATACTATGTAAGAAACTTTAGAAAATCGAAAGATTAGTAATCTTTTTTGAACAAAAAATTTAATTAATTTTTTTATTATTTATGCGCAAATAATGAAAATCTGAAAAAAGTGAAACAAATTAATGATTGGAACAGTTAAACACAAACAATTCTATTTAGAAATGGAAATAATTGCTCGACTAAATTCTCATTTGTTTTGTATCGTAGCTTCTCAATAGAGATACTTTTTTAATTAAGTATATAGCTATTTAAAAAAGCTATAGCTATTTAAAAAACGCATAAATTTTCGCAAAAGAGATACTTTATAATTACACATATAGCTATTTAAAAAGAGGTACACCTACTTACAAAAAATCATAGCTATTAAAAATGTTTCGGCTATTTAAAACACTGCAGTTATCTAAAGTCCCTATAGCTATTTAAAATTTCACATAGTTATTGAAAATATGGCTATTCAGAATTCCAAAACAGATACAAAAAGAAAAAGATGATAAAATCGTATAATCTTTAATCTTTTTTTTTTCATCGTACCCTGCTGAATCATATTATCAAGAAACACAAGTTAGTACATGATTTAGATAGATTTATAAATGATAGTAACATCATATTTTTTCATCATGAAACCCTGCTAAAATGAAATTGTTTTTAATCAGAATCATATATTTTGTTCATAAAACTCTGCTCAACGATATAATAAAACACACAAATTACTATATGAATAGTAAAATGATATATATTGTTTTTTTGCATTCTCAAACCCTGGTCAATTTTATAGTAAAATGATATTTGTTTTATCATCAAACCCTGCTCACATCATATTTTTTTTAATGAGAATCATATACTTTGTTCATAAAACTCTGCTCAACGATATAGTAAAACATACAAGGTACTATATGAATAGTAAAATGATATCTTTTTTGTTTCTCAAACCACATAACTACTACACAGCTCTACACAAATATCAAACATCTGCTCGATAATTAAATGGCTATAGAACAAATAAGTAGCTATTCAAGAACTTTAAATAGCCCAGCGGCAAATTAAATAGTCATGGAAAAATTAAATAGCTATAGACTATGGTGAAAGATGAATTATAAATTTAAATAGTTATAATAGATTTAAATTGCTGTATTAAAACAATAAATAGCCGAAGAGACAATAGAAGAGCAGGATATATACTAAAAAGTATCTCTGTTGAGAATGACCCGTTTTGGCTAGATTTTCTTTTATTTTGTTCAATGTATGAATGAAAACAAATAGGTATTTATGAGAAAAACTTTTTTTTATTAAATATTTTATTAAGTGAAAGATAAATTGTTTTTTTACAATTTTCTTCAATACAAGATCTTTTTGTAAAAATTCTTTTGTTTAGCTGTTAAAAATCTTAACAACTGTGATATTGATTATGTTGTTGTTATAAATCAATCGACGATCAACTGGTTTTACTTTTTCTTCAAAGCTTCACGAAAAAGCATAGCCCTACAATAGAATACAATTTAATATATATCAAGTCAAGAATAAATTGAGTCGTATTTACAATGTCGACTGGAATAGTTCACCAGACATTTCTGTTTGTTTCGAATCGGGCGTTTTTTTTTCTTCGGAATTTTAGGTAACTTACGAATGGAATTGATATTTCTCTCGATAATATTAATATTGATAGCTTCATAACCACGAGGAGCTGTAGGACAAGGAGATATTATTTATATTGTAACTAGAGTTAAATAACTCACTTTTCATGATGTCAAATCTGCAGGTATCAGCCACGAAAAATTTCTTTGGACGAACCTGATCATTTATTGAAGCTTCTCGTGCGAAAATATCAGGCCATTCAGTTTTATCTTTACTGGAAAACAAATGAAATTATATACAAAAAAAAAAGAATCACAATTACCGCTTGATAAAACCAAAGTGTTTAAATCGATTGACGGTAACAAAACTACCTTTAACACCTTTTTCTAATAAAAAAACATTTATTTTAGTTTTTAAATTAAAGATTTATTACCAATAAGAACACATTCATTATTCTTCGAAAAAAAAACTTTATTTTTGATAAGAGTAGTCGTTTGATTACTCTCAACATTTATTACTTCATCATTGTCTATAACAACTGATTCATGACCAGGTGAATTTTCACTACTAGTTGCCATTGATTGATAAGACAAAAAAAAATAAATCAAAGTAAGCACGAACGCAAGTATTTTAATTCTTCTTGTTTTCTAGAAGCTGGACAGTATTCATGTTTTTTTTGTTTATATCTGATTAGTAAGTATTTATCTATGAATAATTTGATTTATTTATGTATATTTCTATGTATGCTTGGTTTCTCGGAAGATGAAATTGCTTATTTTATTGCATTTATTCGTATTCTTTCATGTATTACTCAAGTAAATAATGACTGTCTTTCTTATTATTTATTTAATGAGTATTGGAATATGTTTAGACTCTTCGTTTGGCATGTTACAAAAATATTTCGGTGTAAAAGAAACTATAATGGTTGGATTATTTTTTAAAATTGTTCAATTAGCAGCATTTGGCATAGCTACATCAAATTGGTAAAATAAAATAAAGGACAGGGGCGCATAAGAACGTGATTTGGCCCATAGCACTTTTCAAACAGAACTCATCACAATCATACATAGGATGCAAGAACTTTTCACGAAGAATACTTTGATACTCGATTCGATCTATCCTTCCAGTATATTTGAGGATTTCCGCACCCATACATTCATCATTAGAACGATTCTTTGCGATCAACCTTTCATCTATAAAGTCAGGAGCAGCCAACTTTTATTATAGCCCATTCGATAGCATTTTTCACGGGCTACAAAATCATATAATTTTCAATATTCCTGAAGGTGGACCAAAAAAAAAGTTACGGACCATACTGTTGAAACTATGCCAATTTTNTCTTCTTTCGTCCTCTTTGTATTCTTCCTCTTCACGTTTAATTTTAAGAACTTCTGCTCTTTTTTTATTATCTTCAGTTTGAAATTCATCATTTTGTCGTGAAATTTTTTGAGATTTTGCTCCTCTTCTATTGTCCATCAAACGAAATTCATCGTTAGCTCTTCTTTCTCTCATTCTCTTTGCCTTCTCGACATTTCTTTGAGATATAGATCTTCTTTTTAGCTTCGGCATTTTTTCGTAAAAAACAAACTTCTCACGTAGATTAGGACGTGTATACACCAAGTACAGCTTCTACTTAGTGAGACACGTGTATATCTCTAAACTTAGTGAGATAAACAATGCAAAAGTTTCTTTTGAGTCAAATCTTTGTTAAAACTAGGGAAGATATACTCGATACTAAGTAAGAAACTTTAGAAAATCGATAGATTAGCAATATTTTTTGAAAACAAAATTTGATTTATATTTTTATTATTTATTTGAAAATAATGAAAATCTGAAAGAAGTGAAACAAAATAATGATTGAAACTTTTAAACACAAACAATTTTATTTAGAAATGGAAATAATTGCTTGACTAAATTCTCATTTGTTTTGCATAGATTACCTTTTATTTAGTTCAATGTATGAATTAAAACAAATAAGTATTCATGAGAAAAACTTCTTTTTTCATTAAGTATTTTATTAAGTAAAAGATAAATTGTTTTTTTACAATTTTCTTTAGTACAAGATCTTTTTAAAAAATTCTTTTGTTTAGTTGTGATAAATCAATCGACGACCAACTGGATTTACTTCTTCTTCATAGCTTCACGAAAAAGCATAGCCCTACAACAAAATACAATTTAATTTACATCAAATCAAGGATAAATTAAGTCGTACTTACAATGTCGACTGGAATAGTTCACCAGATATTTCTGTTTGTTTTGAATCGGTCTCTTTTTTCTTCGGAATTTTAGGTAACTTACAAATGGAATTGATATTTCTCTCGATAATATTAATACTGATAGCTTCATAACCACGAGGACCTGTAGAAAAATTATGTATGACCAAACATCGTTCTTGAATAAATACGATTACAATGAATACATAAAATATGATCATCTATTGGATAACATCCTTCTTCATTTGTAAATTGTACTTTACAATTCTAAGAAAAACTATAAAAAAAAAAAAGAATTTCTTATTGTTCTCTTGGTGAATCCGGTCGTGATATACGAATTTCTTTAAAAGTTGATTTTGTTGTATTAGGTGATGATGAAAAACGAATTTCAGATCGATTTGGTGAACCTCGAGGTGCAATTGTTATAACTGGTGATTGAGATAAACTCATTCAACTTTTTTACGCTAGTGATTAGTCACATATTATTTCTCCCTTCTTTTTATTTTTCCCCCCTCAACTCCTCTTTCACACTTCATTAAACACAAATTAAAACCAAGTGGTGATAATGAACTTCAACTCGACTCTATCACCCAAATTATCCTCCATATTGAACCAATTATCAAACGAAGAACTTGAACAAATTAAAAATGCATTTAATCAAAAATCAAACTTCTGTATTCACAAACAACAACAAGGTCATCCACCATATCCATCTCATCACTCTTCATATTGTCCTCCTTCTACCAATCCAACACAAGAAAATTGTCCAACTATTCCTCCACTAATGAATCATCAGGACCAATATTCGAAAGTACATCCTTTAATTAACCAGCATCATGGCATCCCTGCTTCACCACCTACTCCACGGCGTACTATTAGCAACAACCTAGACAATATTGGCAATGATCATCCGCATACAAATAAACGTACCGGTAGTAACGAACAATTGCAACCCAATCAACCAATTCATCAACATCAATATCATCACAACAACAACATTATCAGGCATCACAATTTTCAATTCTCATTCAGTGTCTTAAAGCGAGCAGTAGCTAATTTTCTTCCATCTTATTTCATTGTATTTGATGCTTCAATTAAATCTACTGATTTACCATCAAGCACTCAAGTTGCTATTATGCTGAAGAAACTTTTTATTGAGAACCGGCTACACGTCAAAGAAATATCCATGTGTACCCAAGCTGGTGAACGAAGATTCAAGTTCGCTGTAAGTAAGAAACTTGATTTCTTAACTTTGTTTGATTGGTCATGGCCTAATGAAATTGATGGTATGAAATTCAAAATAACCAAACCCCATTCACTACCTGATTGTCTTGCTTTGGTGGTACGTTATATACCTACGGATATTAAAGAAACTGATTCTCGTATGGAAATAATGAAGGCCATTCCTGCAGCTGTTTCATTTTCAACAATTCGTTATCAACATCGTCATCGACCATCCTACGATCTTCGATTTTGTGTACGTAATTTAGATCAATATAAAACGGCATTAGAATTAGGTCGATTAGCTATTGGTCATCATTATTTGCCTCTTACTTATTTCATGTCCGGTTATCGTTTAACTTATTGTACTTCATGCTGGAAAATTGGTCATTTAAAGGACAAGTGTCATTCACAAGCTTCCTGTCGTAAATGTCTTACCCCGTTTAAAAATGGAGAAAATCATGTCTGTCATGAAAATAGTTATATATGTGCTCAATGTGGTGATAATCATTTTTCTCTTAGCTCAATATGTCCTGTTGTTAAACAATATAAAAAAGATCTTAAAGCTGCAGTTGAACAAGCACTAGCAGCCGGTACAATAACATGTCCTCGTCCAGGTGAACCAACTTATCCAATTCGACGTATTGAAAGTGAATTCCCGGAACTTAGTCATCATCATCAAGTATATCATAAACCGGCCTGGCAAACTAAAGCACACGAGGAACAACAATTTATTCAGAACAATCATGTAAGTGAACTTGCAGATGCTATTAAAGCACTGTCGAACACAATGGCCAAAATTGAAAAGAACCTCCAAGAAATGAATAGGCGTATCGAAGAACAATATAATAGTGGTGTACTTCATAATAATAGCATATCCACTATCATCGATACTCTACAAGTTTTTTCTAGATGGGTTAATGCGAATAACTCAGATCGTACAAAATTAAAAAAGAATATTACAAACTCGATTGATGATCTTCAAGAATTGAAACAAAAAATGTTACAAGAAAGCTACAAAGCTCCCAATTCTTCTGGCTTATCGCATCAATCAGCTAACACAATCAACAGCACTAACAACAAAGAAATAGTAGAAGATTTGAATGAAGATCACCACACAAACTCTCAGGAACAATATGACTAATCATTCTTCCGTTCTTAATGTTGAATCTTCTCCCTTCTTCCCTTCTCTATCTTCTTCCTTTTCCTCCTGCAGCTCCTCTAACATGTCCCCACTACAGACTTCGCTTGAAAGGCTTAAAAGTTGGAATTTTTCTATCTGTCTTCAGGAAAAAATGTCATCAATACTTAAAGAATGGTTCTCCAACTCCACATTAAATAAAGTACTATCTGATTGGAAACAACGTTCCTGCCCAATAACTAGTCAGTTCACTCCTCTGAATATACTTACGTATAATGTCCAAGGCTGGGGCACTCGTGCACTTGAAGTTATGGACTTGATTTTTAAAGTGGATAGTTTTATATGCGTTTTTACGGAAGTTGGTGAGTTATGGAATAGTTTTAAAATCCCACATTTCTCATCCTTCTATCAAAAGGGTACAAATCATAGTGGTGGCGTTATGATAATGATTGGCAAACACCTCAAGGCTACTAGAATAGAGGTAGATATAGATAATACAGTGATAGTTGATGTTGTTGGTCTCACCCAACAAGTTCGAATAGTAGGAATATATTGGCCGCATGGTCAAGTTCGGAATCTAAATGATTTACGTCCCTTTCTGACTAAAGGAACTATTCTCACTGGAGATTTCAATGCCACAACCGAAGAATGGGGTAGCCAATCATCAGATAGACGTGACATTCTCTTGAAAAAATGGATAGAGGAGAACGATCTTGTATATGTACCAACCTCTTCACATTCATCAAAAAGGTCTCATAGACACTTAGACCTAACTTTTACCAACTTGAGCAGAATTCACAATGAAACCTTATTATATGGTACTAGCGATCATTGGCCGACAGTTTTAACTTCAGAGAGTGTAGGGTTTATAACTAACGGCTTCTTCCCGCATACAGATTGGACAGGTTTCCAGACTATCTTAGTGCTATTAGAAGACTTCTGGGTAAAGGAACAGAAAAATCAGTCTTATGATCAATGGTATCAACAATATATTCGATTCCTTGCAGCTTTGAAATGTAGAGTAACAAAATGGAAAGAGAAAGAAAAGTATCGCCCTTCCCTTCCTCCGTCAATCGTAGCACAACTAAGAGAAGTTCGCCGGATACGTAATTTATACTATAGGTATAGGAAATTCACAGGAGTAGACAATGAAGATCTTAGAATCTTACTGAGAACACTGATAAGAGATACTAGAAATGAGATTTTTAAATACAAGAAGGCCAGATGGGCTGATTTCCCATTGTCCATCCAACAGAGTTCTGATAAACAAGACAAAGTATTTTGGTCACACCTCTCTAAAATATATAAAGTGAAAACACTACCCGTCTCTAGTGTACTGCGTGATCGCTTTTTTCACGATCACGATCACGATCACGAGTGATCGTGACCGTGATCGTGCGTGATTAGAAGTTTTTTTCGTGATCGTGATCGAAACTAAAATTTGGTAATCACGAAGGTAATATATAGGTTCAAAATTTCAACTATTTATTCAGAAATTTAATGTTCATAAGCTACTTGTAACAACAAACAACAAGTTAAAATCCATAAACTAATTAAATACTATTATATTAGAAGCAAAACTAAGAAAAAAGTGAGAAAATCGTATAATCAAATAATTTATTCATCGTCTCCACTTTCAATATTAAATACACTAAGTTCACGACCACGATCACGATCACGCGTGATCGTGATCGTGCGTGATTAGAAGTTTTTTTCGTGATCGTGATCGTGATCGAAAATATCAATCACGCAGTACACTACCCGTCTCTAAACTTGCGGTAGATACCAAGGTTACTTCTGACGTGCAGGAAATTACAGATGAGCTCTTTAAATATTTCGAGAATCTATCTAAAGCTCCTGCTGTAGATCCAACAAACTCACACGACACCCAGGTAGAAAAAGAATATCAGGAAATCCAGCACATATTAAATGTTTCAAAGGATACAGAATTGCAAGCAACATCAGCTAGTGAACTAACAAAAATCATTAAAATGATAAAAGGAAAAAAGTCATCGGGATATGATCAAATATCCAATCACATCATTAAGCTGCTTTCTCCAACCTACATTGAATGTCTAGTGAAATGTTTTAACACATGGCTAAAAGAGTGTAGATACCCGCATTTTTGGAAAATAGCTAAGATAATTACGCTTAATAAACTTAGAGCTGGTGTTCCTAAGTGTAATCAAATCAGACCTATTTCCCTACTGGCCACAAACTCTAAGCTTTTCGAAAAAATTCTGCTTATCAGAGCCTGAAACTGGGCCGAAGGTAACCATTTGATCCCAGTAGAACAATCGGGATTCAGAGCCAATTGTTTACTTCCTACGAGAGTGCTATCCATTTATCAAGAAGTCAAAAATAACCTAGCCGCTAATACTCCAACACTTGCCCTGTATGTTGATTATGAAAAAGCATTTGACCTGGTTTGGCATAAAGGACTTATAGAAAAATTATATAGGTTGGATATACCAGTTAGTCTAGTGAAGATAATTAATTGTTGGTTAAATAATCGCACAGCATACATCTCTTTCGGAACAACTGTATCCAATACCTTTAATGTCCATGTAGGCCTTCCGCGAGGTAGTAGTTTGAGTCCCCACATATTTATTATATATCATAGTGACTTAATATCATGCCTAGGAGCACATTCAGCTCATCTATTTGCTGACGACTTGAGTGTCCTTATTCGGGCTCCACTTCAAAAGCCATTCCCTACCCTAATCAAATATTTAGAAATTGAAGGAAATAAGGTGTGTGACAGAATAGCACAATACTCTTTACGTTGGAAACAGCCAATTAATGTAGGAAAAACAGTTGGACAAATTTTCTTCTCACAAATTAAGCTACCTGCAATAAATATCTTCATGCTAGGACAGAAGGTTACGATAGCAAACTCCTTTAAATATTTGGGATTTACCTGGACTAGTAAACTATCGCTGAAGTCCACAGTGTACAAGTGTCTTGAGAACATTCAAAAATCATTAGGTAAGTTAAAGTGGCTGCGTTGTAACGGAATCTTGTCCGAAGTAGTCTTAAGAAGATGTTTCTTTACCTACACGTTTCCCCATTTTGCTTGGATTTTCCCCTTTTTTCCCTTTCTCCCTAAAACACAGAAAGAAGCACTAGAAAGTAAGTATAGAGCAGCAATTCGTTTAGTTCATAGGGCACCCTATGTCAGTGCAGAAAACCTTCTACCATTTACTCATGAAAACTCAATAGAAACGTATGTCAAGAGGTATATTTCAAAAAGATTGAAAAACATATATTCAACAGATCTAAGTACATCACTATTCCTTGAAGACGTGTTTTTTTTGGGACATATTTCACAAACAGCCTAATGATGGCATCGGTCATTTTTTCACCATGAGAAGGGTTAAGAATCTAAAAGCCAACCACCATTCTCTACTTCTAACCTGGCTAGATTTCATTTCATGAACTGATTAACCATAAACACTACACCCCGCTGATTCTAGGACACTACTTGCTCAGAGCGAAATGTAGTCCATGCTTCAAATAGCTGAGTGAACCACACCTACTCTCCACGTTTTCTTCCTTTCTTTGCACAATGTATTACACCTGATTTCCTATGCTTATTGTTCCCTCTCTATCTACTTTGTTCCACTTCTTTTCTTGTCAGCTTTATTTTTCCCTCTCTTTTTCAAGTCCCGTTATCTTTCACTCCTTTTGCTTCTCTTCTTTTTTTTTCCATTTGAAAGCGCTTTCGAGTGTTACACAAATAAAGCATTAACAAAAAAAAAAATTGAGATGAACTAACACTGATGACAGCTTTACAAAAAAAACCAACGACACAATATAAAAATTAAATCTAATCGCGTTTTATTTGTAATAAAATCACACTTACGACGATTATTATTATAATTATTACTCGTTGGTGTTGTCGATCGGTATTGTGAAGTCTTTGTAATTGTTGGTGATGATGGTTCATGAATGGATGGAAAAAGGCAGAAAGGAAAAATGTCGAAAGGGAAAAATATCGAAAATAAAAATGTCGAAAACAAGAATATGAGATAAAAATGAGCATGTAAGATTGAATTGAAGGTGAGGGAGACTTGTACTTCAATATACTCTCGTTTTCAGCATTTCTATCCGTCTACATTTGTATTATTTTTGTTTTCGATATTCTTATTTTCGACATTTTTCCCTTTCGATATTTTTCCTTTCTGCCTTTTTCCATCATACCTGGTTCATGATCAGATATGTATGAATTTGATAGTAAAGAACCTAAATAAACAATTGAAAAAGAAATTGATTGATCTTCTTTCATATATATATATATATATATATATAAAGATAGATTTCTTTTTTATCCACATTATTAGACAAACAAAACCAACACTTGATTGCTCATTTAGAAAAAAAGAAAAAGAAAAAAGGAACCTTGATCGCTTCATCGAGGTATATCTTCAATATACAATCTTTTCTACTCCTTGCGATGATTTGCCACGTTAATAAGAATCGTTCTTTATGTTGTCAACTAAAAGATTGTTATATATGTATATGTAATAATACTCAGAACGTGCCAACATGTCTATAACTTTCGATTTATCTTCCAATCTTTGATAAGAAACCGCTATATATAGTTAGTTTTATTTTTTTGAACTGAAGAAAAAAAGGGGAATGAAACAGAACACAAACATGTAGTGCACATTCAAATGTAGTCATCACAAAGCATGCAGAAAGCCAAAAGAAAAAATAATAATAATAAAATCCTACGAGATTTATAATGATGATTGAAACTATAAAAAAAAATTAATAAGAATAGAATTGTTTAAGATTTTAATTGTTTGTTGTTTTTTAAATTTTTACCTGAATCTGATCGACCGATAGTTGTTTGAACAAATGGATTTTTAACAGGTATAAATTGATAAGTATTATTGATAATTGGTGGTGTAGAAAAAGCACTTGGTGGAGGTGGAAATTCAATTGAAAGTGATTCATCTGATGATATAAATTCATCACCATCATCATCATCATTATTCTCATTAACTAAAATAAGAAAATCAACCACACATATTTTCATGTGTCATGCTTGAACAAATCATATAACAAATGAAAAACTCACTGAATAAATAACATGCACAACTATCTATTTGTTTGTGATGTTTTTCTTTTTTGTTTACCGTTTGTTTGATTAAGGCTCCCTCCCCCTCAAAAAAAGTCTGTTTTCGTCAAAAATTCCGAAATTGAGATAAATACATGGGGAGATAGCCCGTCTTCCGCTCTTTCTGAAATGCTATAGGTTTCTATCCAAAAACCCTTTTTGGGCTGAAAACCTTGATGGTTTCTGTAATCCCCTGCAGGAAAAATGCGTTTTTTTCTGAAAAAAAGAGAATTTCAAGATTTTTTCTAAAAAGTAAATATTTTGATAGATTTTTAAAATATTTTAATAATTTTTATAGAAAAATCAAATCTCTAACAGCAAAAAATAAGAAATAAACTGATTGATACACATGAGGAGAG